GCATTAAAATGATTGAATTTGGGTCGTTTTAACTGACAAAATAAACTCGAGGCCCCAGCGAGGATCGAACTCGCGACCCCTGGTTTACAAGACCAGTGCTCTAACCACTGAGCTATGGAGCCACCTATCATTTAAGTGAATCAAAATTCTTGGTACTGTACTCATATTCTGTGTTATTCTCATAAATGTTTTTAATTTGCATATTAAAATGATTGAATTTGGGTCGTTTTAACTGACAAAATAAACTCGAGGCCCCAGCGAGGATCGAACTCGCGACCCCTGGTTTACAAGACCAGTGCTCTAACCACTGAGCTATGGAGCCACCTATCATTTAAGTGAATCAAAATTCTTGGTACTGTACTCATATTCTGTGTTATTCTCATAAATGTTTTTAATTTGCATTAGTCTCTCTTCAGCTACAGCTGTGAAACACCTGGAATTCAGGAGCAGGAATTTTAACATTTTTAAAATATATATATATATATAATGGGGATCTATTTTTGTTTTCAGAGCTGAGTAAGAAATTCCCCAGGTCCAAACCTTTCCAAACTTAAATGTGGGGAGGAAACTTCTGCAATAAATAGACTAATTGATAGTAACTGAATACAAATTACTACTGATGCAAAACTGACAAAAAATTGAAACAACATCCTCCTGTTTAGACTCCTTATATCTTTGTAAAGTGGATTACATTTCACACAGAGCTCTCCATTAAGACAGGTATGTTCAAAATCTTGATTTGCTGTCTTTCTGCAATTTCTGGCCAATGGAAACTAATGAATATATAGGATGGCTGCAAGTATATATAATTAAGGCTAGAATTTTTGTACAGACATCATGGAATCTGTGACTTTCAGTGACCTCTGTGAATTCAGTTCCAGTAGCTGAAAGCTGCAAGGGCCCACCACAAGCCTCCTGTAGCTCTGATGAGCAGTAATCTGGAACTCAAACCTGGCAGAGGGGACTCCTATAACTCAGAGTTGTCCCCTGTAGCCATGCCCACCGATATGTGTGTGTGGGAGGGGATCTGCTCTGATGCCCAGAGATTCAAAGGGGTCTGGAGCTCTCATTACCACCACTGCTACTGCAGCAGCAGCTGCTGTAGCCAGAGCCCCATGCCACTTTGAATTGCTGCTGGAGCACTGCTCCCTGTGGTGCTGAGGGTGGGGGTACACCACAGTTTGGGTGGTGCTAAGGGCTGACTCCCCTCAGCCCTGCCCCTTCTGCCTGAGGTGCTGCCTCTCCCCCGCTCCTTGCCCTAAGCCCCACAGTGGCTATTGGCCTGGCTACCTGTAGCTGACCAGCCTCTGCAGGTGTTGTGAGGACTCCATAGCTGAGCTCCCCATTTTGTCCTGGATATTTTTAATGAAAGTCAGAGACTGGTCACAAGCGTCTATGAATTTTTCTTTATTGCTCACAATCTGCCTGTGACTTTTACTAAAAATATCAATGCCAAAATCTTAATCTTCCTCTCCTGTTTCCCTGTATTCTATGATATACCATCCATGATGTGGGACACAATTATGTTATGGGGTGAGAGTTTTAATGCTAGTGCAAAATCATTCAGAGGGAGATAATCTGTATACATTGTGCCTCCCTAAACCAGGACTCTCTGGTCCGTCAACTTTTGTCCTTGGATCAGAGAGCCCTGGGGCGGGACCAGTGGCAGTGGGCAACATTTGGCAGCCCAAGCCAGAGGCCGGCCACCTGCAGGCCTGGGGGGTAGGTAGTCTGTGGGGCTAGCGTCCAGCAGCCCTGACTGAGGCTGGGAACCTGTACTAATAGAATCGTGGGCCACAGCAGCCCTTGCTGTATCTGGCAGCCCAAGGCCATGAACCCGCAGCAGCTCTGGCCATGTGTAATAGCCTGCTGCATAAGGGCTGGGAGTGCACAGTCACCTGCAGCAGCGGGGCTGGGAGCCCATAGCAGCTGTGGCTGGGGCTGGCCACCCAGCTGGGCCAGAAGCAGGGGAGCCAGCTAGGGCCAGAAGCAGAGCTAGCAGCGAGGTGAGTCGGCAGGCTGGAGGGCTGATGGCGGAGGACCTCCCTTCCTGGTATGGCAAATTCCCTCATTTGGGACTGGTAAGGTCCGCAGGGTGCCAGACCAGGGAGGTCCAACCTGTATTCTTTTTGCATTTTGTCTTTTCAACTTCCTAAACCTCCCCTGTGTACAGATGAAATTTGGCTGATCTGATAGCTAGAACTGAATGGTATGTAGAAGGTTTGGTAGGGAAGGGTCTTCAAGAACTTAGCACGCTTTGAATTTTACTTTATATTTTGAAAATGAAGTAGCCAAAATCCATTAGCTTCAGGGTTGAAATCATGAGCAGCCAGCACATTTCTTAACAAACACGCTTCTTAACAAACTCAGCTAGGCAGTCTTTAAACCTCCTTCCTGAGTAGGGTGACCATCTGTCCTGTTTTTACGGGGAGAGTCCCTTATTTAAGACCTCCTCCCAGCATCCTTTTTTTTTTTAAATGGGCACATTGTCCTGTATTTCCCCTGCGGGGGGGAGAGGGCCTACAGCCGCTGAAGCCCCAGTCACCAGTGGCTTCCCTCCCCCCAACCTCCCTTGCATGCTGTGGAGCTGAACTTCATCCCTGCAGTGGGTCAGGTTGGGAGGAGAGCCGCTGGCACTCGGAGCTTCTGCCAATGGAGTCCTGAGCATTGGTG